ATCCTGTGAGAGGAACTAAAACTGTCCCAATGGACATCAGCCAGACAGCTTAGTTTCCTGTGTTCTCCTTGGCTACTAATATTCTATGATCAGTGATCCATATAAAGTCATCGTCATCAATTTTATCGTCATTATCTTCATCTCCCCCCGCAGCTTGAGGAATATGTACACATACCTCCCTCATTGCCTCCTGTTATCAAGTACTTCTCTTAACTAAACTGTTGTAATAATTATCATTGTGTCTGTAGTGACTTCAGATAAATTTTAATGGAATCAGTAATACTGATTTCTAGATAAAATTTCTTCCTTTCCTTTCATTCCTTCTATTTCATTTATCAGCTTTACATTTTCACTATTTTATTTTGTATTATTCTTTCGTATTTTATTAAGTTTTCCACAGTTTTGTAATTTTATTCACCTGTCACCTGGAGACAGTAAACACTGGGATGACGACCCAAGGGATAGTGAAGATAAATTAACAGAAAATACCGGTGAAGGCGCCATTGTTAGTACAAGTAGGGAATGCAATCACGAAGAACCAAGGCAAATAGAAATCAAACTTATGTACTTTCTATGACTTAGGTATTTGCAGGCATGGAATATCTGGAAAGACGGATGGGACGTGCGACTCTGACTGCCCTAGAAAATGTCGTGCCCATGTGACAACAGGAGACTGCAACCTTCCTTCCAGCAGTCTTTTCCACCCTGAAATGTGTCACTCTTCAGTTCAGGAAAGACAGTGTTATACCTTACATTACCAGGCACACCACCTAAAGGGTACAAGAAGTCACAGAACATCCAGACCATGGAACAACCTGGGTAGTCACAGCCACTCCAGAGAGAGAGGTTTCTTAGCACCAGGAAGGAAAAAAAGCTGGCAGGAAATTACAGAAATCGTAAACCAACTCGAATCACTTCTGGAGAGGAGTCGCAGTCGGTGGCCTCCACTCCAAACCAACAGATATTAGTGCCAGGTAAAAAAGCCTTTCCCCCACATACCATCCATACGACGATATTCGTCTTTGCAAATATACAGGGTCTACAGCCAGCAACGAGCAAGAAAATAACTTTTATCCGTGGACTGCTTACAGAGTCAAACGCAATGTTCGTGGTTTTCGCAGAGACCCAGGATCACTATGACAATGAAATATGGATCCCGGGTTATAACCAATATAGATGCGACAGAGTGAACAGGTAAAACGGGTGGGGAAGGCGGGGGGGGGGGGGGTTGGCCTGTGCGTCAGTCACTGATATGCTCGGAACTACTAAACACCTCAAATGATGCCATTGATGTTTTGGCAATAAAGATCGAGAACCAAAACCTGGTCAATGTGGTTGCATACAAGCCTCCGGATGCAACTTCCCAACAATTCCAGAAACAGCTTTTGAAAATCGACCACTGTCTGGAAAATCTTCCAGCTTCTGCCCCAAACATCTTGCTCCTGGAAAATTTCAATCTAAGGCACCTAAAATGGAGGAATGTAGCTTCTAAATCTCTGCACCAAATTCACCTTAATCCAGCAAATAACAGAGCCAACAAGATTGGAGAATACACTGGACCTCATCTTCACTAACAATGATGATCGGATGCGATATATTACCATATCAAAAACAATATACTCAGATCACAGCATAACAGAGGTTCAGACATGTATGCGTGGAGCCCCAGACCAACAAAATATGATCAGTCACGAGGGAACCTTCACCAAATTCAACTTAAATAACAAAAACATAAGGTGGGACCAAGTCACCCAGGTCCTAAATGATACACAAACTGGAAAGATAGCCTAAGCAACACTGATCCCAACCTATGTCTAGAAAAAATTAACTCTGTGGCACTCGAGTTATGCATAGAGCATATTCCTTTAAGGAAATGGAAGAGAAGATGTAAACTAGAAAGGGAGAGGCGCTCCCTACACAGGCAAAGGCGAAGAATAACAGAGCGGCTAAAAAAAACCAATATGTCAGTAATAGGAAAGGAGGTAATGGGCAGAGAAATGGCAAACATCGAATTTAAGCTGAAGGAATCTTATAGGAGACAAGAAAAGCAGGAAGAATTAAAAGCCATAAATGAAATTGAAGAAAACCAAAATATTTCCCAGTATGACTCAGTTTATAGCGAGCTGCTAGCCAGATTGAGAGTCGAAGATCTAAATGAATTTTTAATGAGCGAGACTCAGAATTTGGTAGATTCAAACCTATCTGATATTACCCTAACACCACATGACTTCGAGAAGGAGATTAATGACATGCCCATGCACTCTGCCCCAGGCCCAGACTCATGGAGCTCCGTGTTCATCAAGAACTGCAAGAAGCCCCTGTCATGGAGTGGGAGCATGGACACAGGGGTCGTCCCACAGCTGCTAAAAACACCAGACATAGTCCCACTCACAAACGTGGAAGTAAAGCAATAGCAAAGAACTACAGACCGATAGCCATAACATCCCATATCATAAAAATCTCTGAATGGGTTCTAGAAAGTAAGATCGCCACTCATCTAGATACTCATCAGTTACACAACCCAGGGTTACAGGGTTTAGAGCAGGTTGCTCCTGTCTGTCCCAACTGCTGGACACTATGACAAGGTCCTGAATGCTCTAGAAGACAAACAAAACACAGATGCGGTATACACAGCCTTTGACAAGTGTGACCATAGTGTAACAGCACGAAAAATGTGTGATAAAGGAATAACAGGAAAGTTGGTAGATAGATCTATAATTTCCTAACAAATAGAACACAAAGAGTAGTAGTAAACAGAGTAAAGTCTGAGGCGGCTACTGTGAAAAGCTCTGTTCCACAAGACACAGAACTACTACTAATAATATTTTTAATTCTACAAGTACATGTACAAGGTATACAGTCCTAGCTGACATCAGTGACATACTGCTACATAGAAAGCCGCTTGTTATGCAAAGCATTTCGGACAAATTAGGTCAGTTTTGTCTCGGAATGCGACCCACATCAGTCGACTAACACCCATTTTACTGAAAGGGAACTTAGACAACCAGTGTAAAGAAACACGGCCAATGTTTCTGCCCTCGCCGTGAATCGAACCCGGACACTCGCCGTGTGAAGCAAGAGCTTTAGCCACCAGGCCACGGGGAGCCGTCCTGTTCCTCATCCTCATATCAGACATTGTATCAATCGCATCTGCTAGAAAAATGACAGGATGGATAATGAGAACCTTCAAAACTAGGGATGCCAAGCCCATGATGACGCTCTTCAGGTCGCTTGTTCTATCTAGGCTGGAATATTGCTGCACACTAACAGTACCTTTCAAGGCAAGTGAAATTGCTGATCTAGAAAATGTACAGAGAACCTTCACGGCAGTGCAATAAAACACCTGAGTCACTGGGAACGCTTAAAGTTCCTCAACCTGTATTCCCTGGAACGCAGGCGGGAAAGTTACACGATTATATACACTTGGAAAATCCTAGAGGGACTAGTACCAAATCTGCTCACGGAAATAACTCCCTATGAAAGCAAAAGACTCGGCAGACGATGCAACATCCCCCTAATGAAAAGCAGGGGCGCCACTAGCACGTTAAGAGACAACACAATAAGTGTCAGGAACTCAAGACTGTTCAACTGCCTCCCAGCATACATAAGAGGGATTATGAATAGATCCCTGGCTGTCTTCACGAAGGCTTTGGACAGGTACCTAAAGTCAGTACCTGATCAGCTGGGCTGTGGTTTGTACATCAATTTGTGTGGCTAACAGTAACAGCCTGGTTGATCAGGCCCTGATCCAACATGAGGCCTGGTCACAGACCTGGCCGCGGGGGCGTTGACCCCCAGAATCCTCTCCAGGTATACTCTAGGTATCGACTTCCTTTCTTGTCTCTGATCTGAAATCATATTTATGTTTAGACTTGTTATCCTCTACACTGTAAAGAATGTTATACTCTACACTGTAAAGAATGTTATACTCTACACTGTAAAGAATGTTATACTCTACACTGTAAAGAATGTTATACTCTACACTGTAAAGAATGTTATACTCTACACTGTAAAGAATGTTATACTCTACACTGTAAAGAATGTTATACTCTACACTGTAAAGAATATTGTCCTCTACACTATAAAGAATATTGTCCTCTACACTATAAAGAATATTGTCCTCTACACTGTAAAGAATATTGTCCTCTACACTATAAAGAATATTGTCCTCTACACTATAAAGAATATTGTCCTCTACACTATAAAGAATATTGTCCTCTACACTGTAAAGAATATTGTCCTCTACACTATAAAGAATGTTGTCCTCTACACTATAAAGAATGTTGTCCTCTACACTATAAAGAATGTTGTCCTCTACACTATAAAGAATATTGTCCTCTACACTATAAAGAATATTGTCCTCTACACTATAAAGAATATTGTCCTCTACACTATAAAGAATATTGTCCTCTACACTATAAAGAATGTTGTCCTCTACACTATAAAGAATGTTGTCCTCTACACTATAAAGAATGTTGTCCTCTACACTATAAAGAATATTGTCCTCTACACTATAAAGAATGTTGTCCTCTACACTATAAAGAATGTTGTCCTCTACACTATAAAGAATATTGTCCTCTACACTATAAATAATGAACAATTTATTTTGTTTTTCACTGGTTTGTTTCTTCTTTTTTACTTTCATAAATTTTTGTTTCCATTCCTCGGTACACCATCCACAGTCACAACTCTGCAACCTTCACAACAAATAAGCAGAAACATAATTCTTCCTCCAAGCTATGATAGGTTATCTTCATTCCTTGTTGTGTCTGTAACTCGCTGGGAATGATGTCACAGGATGTAACGTACTCGGTGTAAATGAACGTTGTAACATCATGGACATTAATTAAAACGTTTTTAAAATGGCTATAATCCTTTTTGCTGGACCAAATCTGATTGCTTCCAGTTCCCCAGGTACTAGATCACCCTTGTAACGTTAGCACATCCCATTTAAATTGTTGCTAAGATAAGCACATCTAATAACTCTTGGTGGTGTGCAGGTGTGGCTGCTGTATCAGCTTCCAGGACCTCGAGGATTTCCGGTGCTGGGTAACGCACTGTACCTCAATGTGGATCCTCCAGGTAAGATACTCTCAGAGAAATGCTCTCTTTCCTAAGTTCCTTCTTTGACTTAACTACCATTATTATCATTCTATCGCCTGACTGAATTTGAAGAAAATATATAACAATACATGTAATTGGATATTTTCCTGAACTTGAAGAGATCTCTAGTTTGTTTCATGAGGAAAAAATATATTTTATACTCAAACGAGGAGCAAAATAGTTGTTATCTTAGGGAATTTATATTTACGAATTATAAATATCTGAGGGAAATATATGTTGTGTCTGGCAGAACTGTTCCAGAGACTTCTGAAAGTGGCTGAGAGTGGGGAAGTTGCCAGGTTCTGGACCATGTACACTCCTTACTGTTTAATTAGCAGTGCCACAGCTGTGGAGGTAAGTGAAGCGACACTTAATTAACTTTGATAACAGAAACAGGTTGATCAAGGTCCCAACTACATGTTTTAAATTTCCAGTTGTTACAACTATTTTTTTTCAGTTTTCATAATGTTTTTAAAGGTTCAAATTAACAGTGTTATGACTGTTGGATAATTTTGTTATATATTTAATAAAACTGGAAATTATTATGACTTATTATCATAATTGATTTTCGATTATGTCTTCATCACATTACTCAAGAAATCGTAATGACACGATTGCAAATAAACCATACCCCGGCCGGGGTTGAACCCGCGGTCATAGAGTCTCAAAACTCCAGCCCGTCGCGTTAGCCACTAGACCAGCTAGCCACAATAAGATTCATCCAACTAGGTATATTTCTACACCATAGGAAGGTTAGCATAGGCACCTCTGTGACCACAAATGCAAGTTTTTACAGACGAATCTCCAGCTAGCGTGGCCGTGACGAACTCTAGCTCAAGTACCTTCACTGCCGTCAACATGACTCAAGAAATCGTAATGACACGATTGCAAACACCTAGTTGGATGAATCTTATTGTGGCTAGCTGGTCTAGTGGCTAACGCGACGGGCTGGAGTTTTGAGACTCTCTGACCGCGGGTTCAATCCCGGCCGGGGGTATGGTTTTTTTTCATCACATTAATAAATAAGCAGATAAATTCAGATTTTTTTTTATTTGTAATCCTGACTTGGGCGCCTATAATTAATAATGAATAATGACATTGTCAACTCCGAGAAATTAAGTTATTTAATATTTAGGCTTACTGTGTTATTTAATATTTAGGCTTACTGTGTTATTTAATATTTAGGCTTACTGTGTTATTTAATATTTAGGCTTACTGTGTTATTTAATATTTAGTCTTTCAGTGTTATTTAATATTAAGGCTTTCAGTGTTATTTAATATTTAGTCTTTCAGTGTTATTTAATATTTAGGCTTACTGTGTTATTTAATATTTAGTCTTTCAGTGTTATTTAATATTAAGGCTTTCAGTGTTATTTAATATTTAGTCTTTCAGTGTTATTTAATATTTAGGCTTTCAGTGTTATTTAATATTTAGTCTTTCAGTGTTATTTAATATTTAGTCTTTCAGTGTTATTTAATATTTAGTCTTTCAGTGTTATTTAATATTTAGGCTTTCAGTGTTATTTAATATTTAGTCTTTCAGTGTTATTTAATATTAAGGCTTTCAGTGTTATTTAATATTTAGTCTTTCAGTGTTATTTAATATTTAGTCTTTCAGTGTTATTTAATATTTAGGCTTTCAGTGTTATTTAATATTTAGGCTTTCAGTGTTATTTAATATTTAGTCTTTCAGTGTTATTTAATATTAAGGCTTCAGTGTTATTTAATATTTAGTCTTTCAGTGTTATTTAATATTAAGGCTTTCAGTGTTATTTAATATTTAGTCTTTCAGTGTTATTTAATATTTAGGCTTTCAGTGTTATTTAATATTTAGTCTTTCATGTTATTTAATATTAAGGCTTTCAGTGTTATTTAATATTTAGTCTTTCAGTGTTATTTAATATTAAGGCTTTCAGTGTTATTTAATATTTAGTCTTTCAGTGTTATTTAATATTTAGGCTTTCAGTGTTATTTAATATTTAGTCTTTCAGTGTTATTTAATATTAAGGCTTTCAGTGTTATTTAATATTTAGTCTTTCAGTGTTATTTAATATTAAGGCTTTCAGTGTTATTTAATATTTAGGCTTTCAGTGTTATTTAATATTTAGGCTTTCAGTGTTATTTAATATTTAGGCTTTCAGTGTTATTTAATATTTAGGCTTACTGTTTTTATTTAATATTTAGGCTTACTGTGTTATTTAATATTTAGGCTTACTGTGTTATTTAATATTTAGGCTTACTGTGTTATTTAATATTTAGGCTTTCAGTGTTATTTAATATTTAGGCTTACTGTGTTATTTAATATTTAGGCTTACTGTGTTATTTAATATTTAGGCTTACTGTGTTATTTAATATTTAGGCTTACTGTGTTATTTAAGGCTGGAGGTGATGTCTTGGTAGTCAGTAAATGTAGGGCTGATAGTGCTGTCCTGGGAAACAGTAATGGTGAAGCTGGAGGTGCTGTCCTGGGAGACAGTAATGGTGAAGCTGGAGATACTGTCCTGGGAGACAGTAATGGTGAAGCTGGAGGTGCTGTCCTGGGAGACAGAAATGGTGAAGCTGGAGATACTGTCCTGGTAGACAGTAATGGTGAAGCTGGAGATTTTGTCCAGGTAGTCGGGAATTATACGCAGGAAGGAATACATATAAATGACCTCATAGAGGACAGGAGCCATAGTAGGGAAACAAGTGTAGTCAAAGATAAGATAAAACCAATATTGCAAACCAGAAATACCGCAGGAAATAGCAAACAAAGGACTCCAATAGCAATAGTGAGGATAAATTACCAAAAACAACTGGTGGGAGCTCCATTGTTGGTGCTAAGGAGGATAGGAATAAGACAGGGAAACATGCACCAACAGGGAATACAGTCACAGAAACCCAAGGCAAACGGAAACCAAGCCTGTGCACATACTATGCACTTGGTATCTGCTGGCATGGGAAATCTGGAAAAACAGATGGGACATGCAACTATGACCACCCTAGAAAATGTCATGCCCATATGACAACAGGAAAATGCAAACTCCCTTCCTGTAAGCTTTTTCACCCTGAAATGTGTACCTCTTCAGTACAGGAAAGACTGTGCTATAACTTAAATTGCCAGGCATACCATCTAAAGGGGACAAAAAGATACAAAACATCCAGGCCATGGGAAAACCTGGGTAGCCACAGCCACTCAAGAGGGAGAGTTTTTTAGTGCCAGGAAGGAAAAAAAACTGGCAGGAAATGGCAGAAATCGTACACCAAATCCAGTCATTCCTGGAGTGGAACCACAGTCGATGGCCTCCACTCCAAACCAACAGATACAGATACTAATGCCGGAAAAAAAATCCCCCCCAGTACCAACAATACCACCAGTCCGATAACATTCTTCTTTGCAAATATACAGGGTCTAAAGCCAGCAATAAACAACAAAATACCTTTCATCCGTGGACTGCTTGCAGAGGCAAAGGCAATGTTCACGGCTTTCACTGAGACCCACATAAAGGATCACTTGGACAACGAAATATGGATCCCAGGTTACAACCTATACAGATGTGACAGAGTGAACAGGCAAAAGGGGGGGGGTTGGCCTGTACATTGCAGAGTCACTTGTTTGCACAGAACTGCTTAATGCCTCAAATGACGTAGTGGAAGTTTTTAGCAGTAAAGGTCGAGAACCAAAACCTAGTCATTGTGGTAGTCTACAAGCCTCCGGATGCAACATCCCAGCAATTCCAGGAACAGCTGTTAAAAATTGACCACTGTCTGGAAAATCTTCCAGCTCCTGCACCCAACATCTTGCTCCTGGGGGATTTCAACTTAAGGCACCTAAAATGGAGGAATATAGCAAATAATATTGTTGCAGTAATAACACCAGGAGGCAGCTCTGATGAAAACTCACACTCACACGAGCTTTTAAATCTCTGCACAAAATTCAATTTAAACCAGCAAATAATAGAGCCTACTAGACTGGAGAATACACTAGACCTCATCTTCACTAACAATGATGATCTGATAAGAAATGTCACCATATCAAAAACAATATACTCAGATCACAACATAATTGAGGTTCAGACATGTATGCGTGGAGCCTCAGACCGACAAAATGAGACTAGTCACAAGGGAGCATTCACCAAATTCAACTTCAATAACAAAAACATAAAGTGGGACCAAGTAACCAAGTCCTAACCGATATAAGCTGGGAAGATTACTAAGCAACACAGACCCAAACTTATGCCTAGAACAGATTAACTCGGTGGCACTCGATGTATGCACAAGGCTTATTCCTCTAAGAAAAAGGAGGAGTAGATGTAAAATAGAAAGAGACAGGCGCTCCCTTTACAGGCGACGGAAAAGAATAACAGAGCGGCTAAAAGAGGTCAATATATCAAAATGCGCAGGGAGACACTGGTCAGAGAAATAGCAAGCATCGAACATTAAGCTAAAAGAATCCTTTAGGAGTCAGAATCGCGGGAAGAACTAAAAGCCATAAATGAAATCGAAAGAAACCCAAAGTATTTCTTCTCCTATGCCAAATCAAAATCGAGAACAACGTCCAGTATTGGGCCCCTACTTAAACAAGATGGGTCCTACACAGATGACAGCAAGGAAATGAGTGAGCTACTCAAGTCCCAATATGACTCAGTTTTTTAGCAAGCCGCTAACCAGACTGAGAGTCGAAGATCAAAATGAATTTTTTATGAGAGAGCCACAAAATTTGATTAACACAAGCCTATCCGATGTTATCCTGACGCCAAATGACTTCGAACAGGCGATAAATGACATGCCCATGCACTCTGCCCCAGGGCCAGACTCATGGAACTCTGTGTTTCATCAAGAACTGCAAGAAGCCCCTATCACGAGCCTTTTCCATCCTATGGAGAGGGAGCATGGACACGGGGGTCGTCCCTCAGTTACTAAAAACAACAGACATAGCCCCACTCCACAAAGGGGCAGTAAAGCAACAGCAAAGAACTACAGACCAATAGCACTAACATCCCATATCATAAAAATCTTTGAAAGGGTCCTAAGAAGCAAGATCACCACCCATCTAGAAACCCATCAGTTACACAACCCAGGGCAACATGGGTTTAGAACAGGTCGCTCCTGTCTGTCTCAACTACTGGATCACTACGACAAGTCCTAAATGCACTAGAAGACAAAAAGAATGCAGATGTAATATATACAGACTTTGCAAAAGCCTTCGACAAGTGTGACCATGGCGTAATAGCGCACAAAATGCGCGCTAAAGGAATAACAGGAAAAGTTGGTCGATGGATCTATAATTTCCTCACTAACAGAACACAGAGAGTAGTCGTCAACAGAGTAAAGTCCGAGGCAGCTACGGTGAAAAGCTCTGTTCCACAAGGCACAGTACTAGCTCCCATCTTGTTCCTCATCCTCATATCCGACATAGACAAGGATGTCAGCCACAGCACCGTGTCTTCCTTTGCAGATGACACCCGAATCTGCATGACAGTGTCTTCCATTGCAGACACTGCAAGGCTCCAGGCGGACATCAACCAAATCTTTCAGTGGGCTGCAGAAAACAATATGAAGTTCAACGATGAGAAATTTCAATTACTCAGATATGGTAAACATGAGGAAATTAAATCTCATCAGAGTACAAAACAAATTCTGGCCACAAAATAGAGCGAAACACCAACGTCAAAGACCTGGGAGTGATTATGTCGGAGGATCTCACCTTCAAGGACCATAACATTGTATCAATCGCATCTGCTAGAAAAATGACAGGATGGATAATGAGAACCTTCAAAACTAGGGAGGCCAAGCCCATGATGACACTCTTCAGGTCACTTGTTCTATCTAGGCTGGAATATTGCTGCACTCTAACAGCACCTTTCAAGGCAGGTGAAATTGCCGACCTAGAAAATGTACAGAGAACTTTCACGGCGCGCATAACGGAGATAAAACACCTCAATTACTGGGAGCGCTTGAGGTTTCTAAACCTGTATTCCCTGGAACGCAGGAGAGAGAGATACATGATTATATACACCTGGAAAATCCTAGAGGGACTAGTACCGAACTTGCACACGA